ATCGAACCGACGTGTCATTAATAAGGACCCCGAATACCTCTAGTCATATTATTATTACATCTTGCTCAGTGCTGATCATCGTCGATTTCATCGACTTTATCATCATCGACAATGACGACAAAACGCAAAAATTCAGATACGATCGATCTGACAACATCTTCTACATTGTCTACACCGTTACCGGCGCCATCTACTAGCAGAAACCGTCTTCCGCGCTCTGCTACCAGTTCCAGGAGTAGCTCACAGGCGTCTCGTTCACAGAGTGGCGGGCCAAGACCAAACGAAGATACTACATTGCTACCAGATCATGCAGAAGAAGACCTCTCGCATCACAGGAGAAAGAGACGAAGAATTGATTTCGGTGGAGAAGAACAGATCAACGTGCACCAGCCGCATGAAGATGAAGCACATCCGAGTTTACTCTCCAATCCCCCAGATAATAATGTCTTAGAGGCAAGCACCTCGTCACAGGTCGCATCAAGCTCGCTGCTGTCTAGTTGGAACATGGCTCCCGATCTCATGCTAGGATCATCATCCTTGGACGAGGAACTGGTTGACCAACCACCGCTCACCCAGGAGTCAGTAGCATCCCAGGCTTACTCAGATGCTGCAGATGCAGGAACTGAAGTTGACATCATGGATCAAAGGGGAACATCTCAATCAGCCTCCGAAATAACCAATGTTCCTCCAGACGACGTAGTCTTGGTCAGCCCCACATTGTCACCACGTCGAACTCAGCCTTCACTGCGCCCAATCGTCATCGATGATCCTATTCCCCTAGAGATGACGGGTACATTCACACCCGAACCAGCTAGTCAGGACCCTCATGCTTTCCCCCTGAACGCCACATCTTCCTCATCGTCTGCACCGGAGCTACTATCCGCTTATACGTGTCCCATTTGCTTCTCACCTCCCACTAACGCAACTCTGACACCTTGCGGTCACATTTGCTGTGGAGCATGCCTCTTTGCTGCTGTCAAATCCACAGTGAAGCGGAACATGGTGATTGCTATGGACAGAGCCCCTGTTCCAAGGTCAATATTTATCTTTCGCACTTTTTACGCCATTGTAATTCATCATTTGACCGATCCTACTCAGATGCCCCGTTTGCCGCGCTGAAATACCTGGGTGGGATGGACGAGGGGGAGGGGTAGTTGGGTTGAAAGTGGAGGTTGTTTATTCTCTTTGAATTTGAGCACGCCTCGTGTGAAGCACACATACGTATGTTGTATTCACCATGCTCGAGACACAACATCTTCTGGTCGAGACCATATAATTCCAATAACGACCCTTCTAGAAATCACCTAGCAGTGCAATCATGACTGTCCCTTTCCGTGTCACCGCGGTCGCCACGAAACCAAATACTTCTGTGACTGATTGAAATGCCATGTCGTTTCAGCGTGGTTGTATTGATATTAACGATCGATCATGGTCGAGCCCGAGTCCGTACATGAATATACAGCCTCTTCATAACAGGTAATTACTCCCTCGAACTCGCCTCCACTGCGACATGGCAAAATCATTAAATATTCCACTCAGCGAATTAAATGCACAGTAGCAAGGCGACGAAGCGAGCATCGGTTACGTTCTCGGCATTATTTGTGCGTAAGTGCGGTTTGTTTGGCAAAAGCTTTCGATCCAAACAACCCAAAACTTGATAATCACAACTCAATCGCAACTTGATAAGATAACATTGAGTGTTACATCAACAATCTCTCATTTTCAACATCAAGATTTTTTTTCCAGTTCACAACAGACATGAGCGCCCGCCAGTCTTTTGTTCCTCGTTCAGCATCTCGTGCTTCTACCCATGCAGACACTGAACATCCGTTTGATATGTCGCTCCGTAACCAGAATTCTCTAGGCCAGCCCCAACGTACTGGCGGTAACCAGGATGAACTTGACTCAATGCAACCAAAAACAGACTCAGGAAAAAAGGCTCGCTTTTCCGGGCTTATCGGGAAGAAACTCACTGGCAAACTCGGCTCCGGAGATCACTCAGCGGCCATAGACGGGTCGTTCTCCAGCGCGTCTGGGCGTTTCAGCGGAATCTATCGCCCTGATATGCAATCCTTGGCCATTCCAGGCAGGTCTAGCTCTCCATTCCGTGGAAAAGGCTCGCCTTTTGTTCCATCTTCCAATCCTGGTATATCCTTTGCTCAACCCACGTCGCCTATGGCAAAATCTGCATCACACAGAGGAGATTTGACCATTTCAGGTCTCAAAGACGCGCATATATCCACACCAGGTGTCTCAGGGCTCATCTCTACTTCTCGTGTCATTGCAGCGCCTGTCCCTAGCTACGGGTCGATTCACGATGGCAGGCACGATGACGAACACACATTCAGCTCCAACAAATCTTCCCTAGCCAAGTCACAGCCTGCGCAACTCCTTGAGAGAATCCATGAACACGTCGAGCCAGAGACAGCAAACGAAGACGAAGACGAAGCGCTGCTGGACGCTCGCAGGACAAACGTTGGTGGGCATCCCGTGTTGCGCAGGGTGAAGCGCACCATACAAGGCACTCAGGAGGACGAGGCTGGTTTCTCACCCTCTGACGAGATTGGATATATGCGTAGAGTCAAACGGGTCAAGATCGACGAGTTTCCCTGCGAATTGGAAGATGGCCGTCCTGACGACACTAGCCACTCCGGCATCGACCATACTCAACTACAGTCTGATCTTGATGAAAATACGGCTCGTCAATCTTCAGCTTCCACGGGCCAAACTGGCGCGGGTGCCGCGGAGGAAATCTTCCTCGATGGCATGTTTGCGAACATGGATTCGTTCCTGGACGTGGAGACTTACATGGGCCTCATTGAGAAGTGGTCTACCTGCTCAAGGGAAGAGTGGCTTCAAGGCTCTGAAGGTGCGCGGCTGTTTCCCTGTTTCTTTGCATTTTTTTTGCTTCTGCCCCTTTCTGCCTATCAAATTTCCGTCAAATTCTTGTTCACACAACATCTGATTTGTTGTTCAAATGGGTGCTAACTGCAGTCGTGTAGAAATTGTCGACCAGTTTAAAGATATCATTGACTCCGTGAAGGAGAACCTCACGTGCGTGCCTTTTCAAACACATCATGTCCCTGTCTTGGGGTGGAGTCACTGATCATGATCACACCTCCTGTTCATTATATAGAGCCAACGTCACTCTTTACTCACGTCTGGATGACCAAGTGCGCGATCGCCGTGAGGAACAGGCTCAGCTCACCGAACATTTGAGGCGAGGATTGGGATCGGCCAGGACGGATCTGATCGCTATTTGCCGGGGGAAGTAAATTGAAGCAGTGTGGTTAATGCTGCGGTGAGATGCTTATACGACGTGCCTTTTCACCTCCTATACCGAAAACAACTTGGACTTCATATGAGATTATGCATGTGCTTCGTAGAACTCAGCGATTCTAGTTTTCAAATGTCAATTTGCAAAATCGCAATCCTATCGATCTCAGGGTGAAGTGAACGGTAAAGACGTCGGAGTCGAACGTTGAGTTATTTTTTTTCAAATCCGGAATAGCACCATTGGAGGTGCATGGGCTCCTATGTAACATTGACTGCAAGTTGGTGTAGCAGACTCGTCTAAGAATATTTTCGTTTCCTCGGCCTCTAACAGAGACGATTTAAATCCGGGGCATTTTCCGCTCATCGTACGCTTGATGATGGTAACGTGCGCCGATAACGTTATGTAAGAATGATCAAGCAGTACCTTGGCAATCGTCGCGCACAAAATTAGCACTCTTGCCTCATCGTCTCCCTCATGCCAAGATAAGCCTTAGAACGCCTTATACCACTTTGCCAGTTGCATCCAATTCAGGAATATTTCTCACACTAACAAATAAGGTACGGCAATTTCTCAAGTTCCCGCCACTCACCTTGTCACGGTAGGTGCTTGCGGCAGCCTTGTGTTTATCCAGTAACTTTATAACGCAAGGCTCAGGCGTCAATGCTTTAATGCACCTTATCTCTCTGGTCACGCCGATAGAAGGTCTCCCTGAGACTTCTACCGACTTCTATCTCCCAAAGCGAGGATACCTCGTGCACAAATCACCGTGGCGCTCTATCAGAAGTCTTTTTTCAGCATAGAACAGGAGAAGCGTTCGTTGCACCATGAAATACAGCCGTTCAGTCATTGGTGCAAGTAATCACCGGTCCCTGTGAAGACTGTTAGGCCTAGGTCGCACCACAAGTCATACAGACAATATGTTGCTGCACTCAGACGTGTGTTGTCATACTGTTGTCATACTATGTGTCGCGACAAGTCGCGGCTATCACGACTCTATCTTAGCGACGTTTACGCGACGAGAGAATTCCTTGGTCGAGGCCGTATACGAACGTTGCTGGCCTGATCAACATCGCTACATTGAAAGGTTTACACTTCGGAAGGACGAGGCTTATCTGAGTAAGAATTTGAAATGAAACTTTGGATACCTCTGATTACGATTTCATAAATCAACTACTCGTTGAAAGTTCACATTAACGAGGAGAGGTACCCCCCAGTTGCCATCGGTCAAAGGATAGCGCCGCAGCCAGTGAATCCTATCCTGAGGTATGAGGGTATCGCTCTGCATATCTTGTAACAGATTGAAGTCTTTGAACAAGGTCTCGGACTAGGAATATCATGTTTAATCGGGTAATAAAGCGGAGTGCTGATAGATCGTTTTCCACACCACCCCTCCTGAGTTCTTATCATATGGCGTGATGCTTTGCCGTCGGCCGCATTGTCCCTGAAGTTACTTCACAGTTAATTTTTGCAAGAACTTCTTCGGCACACCTCATGGCATATGCCAGTCGTGGCTCCAATGACCAGAATTTGGGAAGATAGGTTTCCGTTGTCCTAGGAAAACATTAACACCACTGCCTCACGCCTGGCCGTGTTATCCGGCCCCTTACGGCAGTTTCTTTGGTCCTTCCGCGGTGCTGTATCTGCTCGTGGACCTTCGGCGAACGTTCTATAACTTTGTTTTCCCGACATGATGGACATCCGCTGTGGGATAACTTTCAACCTCATGGCTGCATGGAGTTTATTCCCGTATTCCATTTCAGGATATGCGGACCTTAAAGGTATCTCTGTTATAAAGACTACGTACTCCAACTTAGATTCGTCATTCTTCAACGAGACTCCTCGATCCAAAGATTCTTCCGGATTCATTATGCCTCCTGGTACTGTTAAAAACTGTAGATCATGTTTTCTTGCTTACTGTTCGCACAATAGATCCTGAGCTTGTCTTGGACTCGAAGCGCAAAGAAACGCTACATGAATTTCTCGAAGTGCTAAGGGAGCTTGTCGTTCGCGACTCTGCGACAGTTGAGGAGAAACCGCAACAGAGTACAGACAAGAAACAATGTGAGAATATCTATTTTGAGGGCTTTCGCCATTTTAAACCATTTTTAAGATCCGGCTAGCCCGGAAGAAAAACTCGTTTTAGAAGGTATAGAGACCTTCACGAATTTTGAGAAGTGAGTTATCCGTTCTACCACTCGCTTTTTGACTGACCATGGTTGACCCCTTCCGCCTCGAAAGGCGCGTAGAAAGATTGGACAAAGAGGTCAGTAGTTTTATGCGAAATATCGTTATATTTACGCGTCCTTCCAGCTCCGTAATTTTGATAACGGCGCCCGTCAATTGGGCAGCTCGGCAGCACTGCTACTCGCTGCATCCAGACTTCGTGAACGGCTCGTCCGACTTTTGTTCATCTTCCGCGACAACGCAGCCAATCTATTTCCTCGGAGGATCGCACGTCAGTCCAAAGAAACGCTTGTGAATCCAAACATCGTGGATCGACGTGGCAAGGCTCATTCCGAAGCTGTCAAATTTCAAGCATTCATAGCGGAAGATGGATTGGCGACTGAAGCCATTCCCCAGGAATTGGATGGTTTTGCGCGAGATCTGCGCATGCTATTGCATAGTTTGAACGATTTCCCTGAGTTCAGGGATGATGCGGTGAATAGTTCCATCCACGCCTTCGCAGCAGAACTCGAAGTAAGCGCTTCTTTTTTGGCCGTGACACTACGTTGACAAAATTCAGTATCGGGCTTCCTGTCTGACGGAGTATAAAGGTACGACAAAGTACTCAACGTCCACAGTTACTGGGCTGAATCTTTCACGTAGGCTATTTTCGGCTTGCTTCTGTGCAACAATACGTGCACGGACTTACAGCGGAAATCGGAAGTCATATTGACGTTGTAGCATCGAATTTGGCGATGTTCATAGATATCGGTAATTACAATTTTATAACAGGTGTTCACTGGCAATTGAAATGGTGGATACAGGTGTCCCAACCATTCAGCTTTCACAACAATATGCGGCCGCTAATCTTTCTAATCTGGCAACATTTGGTACGATATTTTCGGGTGTCACCGCAACACTTTTACAGCTATCATATGATCACACCAACACTAAGCTGGCAGTATCTGTAAATGCATTTTGGTTTTCGTCGCTAGTCTTCAGCGTCGCAGCGATAGCGACCAGTCTACTTGGTTTGGCATGGACGCAGGCCATACAGTGAGCGTTTCGTATTGTTTTCTCTTGCTCGAGTTATAATGACTTGAAAAATCAAGCCGCTCGCCAAACCACAGAGTACCCTGGTGGGTATTGACATGGATCAGACGATCACCTCTTGTGTTACTCGTCAATGCAGTTATGTTCTTTTTTGTGGGGCTCATATTGGTCACATACATGATAAGTAATGTTCGTCATAATCCTTACTTTTCATGACAGTGCCTTACTATTTTTTGGCCTATAGAATATGGTCACGCCCATCCTGATCACTATATTCGCAGTATGTTTATTGTTTATTCTTATGTACGTCGAGTTCTTATCCAATTGTGACAGACCGTTACGTCCATCGGATTGGCTTCTTCCTTATGCTGGATTGTATCAGAACGATTTGTATCTATACACCATCAAGGTCACATATGGCTAGAGGACCTCATGTTGGAAACAATCAGACATATCACTGCGCCCATACGGACGATCACCCGCCGTCTTTACTCAGGTTTCCGTGGACTTCCTTTGTACGTTCGGCGACCCCCTCCTGCCAGATTATCTGAGAGAACGACAGATGATGAACCTGTCCAGAGCGCAGCCCCGACCTCATGCGGCGTCTCTATAGTATCTCCCTCTTCTCTGGAGGATGTGGTATCGATTGTCTCGGAGGGAACGGCAGACGAACAAGATGAGGCTAGACGATCTCGTGCTCGAGAACGCTTCAAGAGGGCTGTTCGAACCGTTATATCGATGCAGTCATACCCGAGAACTTACGGCTCGCAATCTCTCGATTGGATGCTGCATCCAAGCCCTGCTTCCCGCACCCCTTCCATAAGAGGAAAAGTGATTCGACGTTATGGTCTCTCTACTCTCTCTCAGAAGCTGCAGAATTTGGAATGCACAGAGGACATCTCGCCTCATCAAGCGCTCGTGAGAGACCTCCAATTTTCTCCGGATGGAAAGTACCTCGCGACAGCAAGGTGATTCAAACGTCCTTTTATTTTTGTGAATTATCCTTATTTACATCGCGCGTTGACCATAGCTGGGATAAAACAGCATGTATCTTCAAGGTCGCCGTAAGTGCAGATTTGCTCAATAGTCTCACAACAAAATTCGAAGAACCTGACCGTCATGTGCTTAAGGAACCGTCCGCTGATAACCATGTTCTTTACCATGAGAGAGGCTTTACAGAGCAAATACTCTGGTCTGCGGATTTTAATGACGCTGTTATTTGTCATCACGATGATTGATTACATCAATAGGTCTACGTGTGGTGGCCACGTGTTGACTAGGTCTCCCCGCGGCATCAAAATTTGGACAAAAGTAAGCTGTGATTCGAAATTTCCGCACCGTTCTTAAACAGTATCGCAGGATGGCGTTTGCTTGAAAACAATCCGCCGGCCTCACATCGTCCAGTTCTTACAATGGGTGCCTCTTGGAGATAGTAAGTAATGTCGAACTCTGCATGACACTTCCAAAACATAATGATCCATAAGTGTCCGTCCTATCTGTGGAGGGGAGTGAAGTTGTGAAACTAGTACGTCCTGTCCAAATCATACAAGATCATAAATTGTGACATTCCTTAGGACAAAGACGGAGAGGTAAATACTACATTTTCAAAGCCAAAATTAATACAAAGCATCCGAAAAGGTTCTTGACACTTACAACTGCGGGCGTGTTCAACTTCGACGGATCGTCGTTACATCAGACGGTCATCGTATAATAGGTATCGGTCCTATAGGGGAAGCGCCTAACGGACTCCATCCCAGTCGTCCTACGAGAGTGGAAAAGCGCATTATAGGCAAGTAAATCCACCCATACGAAGATCAATAACAACTCACGAACATTTCAGTGTATAATACACGTACACGTCTCTGTGAAAGGTGGGCCACCACTTGCTCGTATCTCAATGACAACACATCTGACATGCGACCCATCAAGTCAAGTACCACTTTTTCAGGACGTAAGCGACGTAAAATTGGCAAGAAACAACACCCACCTCCTCTTTTCGTTTGGGGATCAGGTTCGTAGTTCATGACGAAAAATGACATGATTTCCACTTATGCTCTGAACTATAGTCTCCTCCTCAGCTCTGGAAGATGGACTTGGTCGGGGGCCGGGGTCGGGCTTCCCGTAATTGTGCTAGACTCACATTTCGTCACGCATTTTCATCTCCAGTCTCCTTTGAATATGTTGCATCGACGTTTGGCGGAAAGAACGACCAGTTCATACTCTGCGCCGGAAAATGTACGATTTTGCGCTGATTTTTCCCAGCCTCTGCTGACGATGTTGTGTAGCTGGAGAAATCCTTATTTGGGATCGAGATTCTGCTAATCTTCTTCATCATATCTATCCTAAGGACCCTGACCAAGATTTAACTTGTATATCATGCAATAGCCTCGCAGGCGACCCTTTCGCATTCGCCAGTAGGCGGGCACGACGGCAGTATTCGTATATGGTCCACATTCCTATGTCTTACTCCTATGACTCCAATCCATGATCCACAAGATGTGACACCCCCCGAATCGCACTACAGCTACTCTCCTAGAGGATGGCATACAGAAAGGATCCCCCCGGATAGTTTTCTAAAGGTCGTTACGCCAACTCGGCGGTTGCGATCTCCGAGTATGACGTCGACGGCTTTCCTATCAAGATCGAGTTCGGAATCTGCGTATGGGATGCAAAGAAGTATGAGCGGGATATCGGATACTTAATTATAATTTATATGCCTATGTTTACTAGACGACAAGATTGTCACGCCTTCCCCAATATCATATAATAACTTGATTTCACAATAGCGGTAAGATTCTGCCAGATATGATTCAGTGCATTAGGGGTCATTGTCAGATACTGCCTGTACGGCATTCTTATGAGCTGTGTATACAGGCGGCTGAGCGATTCAAGAGAATTGTCGCGTCACCCGAAGCATCATGAGCTCACTGCTTCAAATTGACTCAGATGCGAGGCGGTAATATAGCTCAAAAAAACCAGACAGTATGGGGATGACCAAGCCTGAAACAATCGGGGAACAATGGAAGCATCAGAAGTAATGATGAGTATGGATGCATGCCAAGCTTCAAAGATAGTAGTAGAAGAAATCACTGACTTGGAAAATAGGAGTGTTCCTTATAATCAGAATCGTCAAGGACAGACGAAATGCAAAGTGAAGGGGGGAAATGATCCGTCCTGCAAACAGAAGATATGTGCAAGATGTCGCGGGTGTGGCGACGAGGCACAAAGTCAAGCGAAGATGGTCGCCGCTCAAGTGCCAGTGTGATGCAGAAAGGAATAGCCGCTGCAACAGTTTGATTACCGATGAAATATGGACCTGTTCGCCAGAGCAGGGCAATTTCACGGTGTAGTCAACGATAACGACAGTACATCGACGAGATCGAGAGGGGACAACAAACAGACCTTCCCAAGGTTGAGCGGGGGTGACAGATGGGTCTGAGATCAACAGATCTGGTCGGTGACAGGGTGAGGACTCCAGCTCAGAAGTCGCAGGTAAGGTGAGGCCGCGGTGAATAATGCACGAAGCATATTCAAACGGATGAAGGCACAGCCAGAAATCAAGATGGCATACAATTGGAGAGGCTACAAATCACCACGCTAACAATGTTGCAATGGGATTTGGAGACGGCGAGGATCAGACTGCGTGAAGTTGTGATGCCTGAAATAACCCTGGGCTAGAAATGTCAATGACTAGAAAGCGGAGCGATCACGATGCGCCCTAGTAGATATTACAATCAGCCATGTGATGGCGAAGCAGGCTAAACAACCAACAAGAAACGTACGAAATGACATGAAACAACTCATCAGTTGGACAGAACATTGAATTGTGTGATATTGGTTACTGGGACAACATGACTACCCAGAACTGCTTCTGAACTGGGTGGAGAGTGCGGACGAAAGGTTGAGAGATGCGAGAAATTGACGAAATGCTGCGTGGGTTTGCAAGAGATTGCGACACTGTTCCGTCTCCACGTTTTGCGGATTACTATTATTCACACTACAGAGGTATGACAGGGCCCAGAGGTCATACAACATATATGGTGCGACTCTGCTGCGTGCATCGTACTTCTTGTGCTTCATTGCATATCTGCGCCTCAAGTTGTTAGCTCGAGAACCCCATTCAACCAGGATCTCGCTCAGCACAGTAGAGAGCGGCGCACCATCCTCGATTATATGCTCCAGGCAGGGACTATCTGCACAACGAAGCCTGGGAGTCCCCATGACCTACCATTTTCAGCTACGGTTTGGCTGGAAGTCTGCTAGGGGTGAGGCTAGAGTAGATCGAAGCTTGCACTCAGCAATGGAACATGATACGAGGAGCTGCGGCTGCCACATTAACGCTGTCATCAGGAAGATCTAGGACAGAGGATCATCGTCGATCTAACCACATGGGGTCGTGATGGCCCTGGATCAGCAGCGCCCAGTAATCGAGACGCTGCGATACGCAATGAGTTAATGAAGGAGCAACCAGAAGCGGACAATGACAAATGGACGAAAAAGCATGAACGATCCAAACAACAGCATATCCCATGAAGACGGAACATCATGATTGCATTGAAACAGTAATACTAGGGAAAGGGGTGAACAGCTTATGGGTTTGACGAGGGGAGCAAAATGAGTTAGCGAAGAGAAGAATTGATTAAGTAATGCTTGAGGTGCGGGGTTACGAATGATAGATACAGAAGGGACTGTTGATCGTGAGGAGTAGGAAACCAAGCTTTTTATGCGAAGAGAGGTCGACAAGAGTGCGCGAACGTAACGTGGCGTGTAGGGAAGATATGACGTCGCACGATCGCGCCCGAAAGCGCAGTCTGGAGTGAATTCGTCACAAACCCGCCTAGCACTCCAGAAAGAAAGTTCCATTGTCAAGGCATGGCTAAATGATTGCCGGGTAGGGTCCGAGGTTGGATGCAACTTCCCAGAAGTATTCAGTTTGTTTCCGAAGGAGTTCTTGTTAGATAAATTGACAAACAACTAAGGGAGGACGTTACCTTTGCCTGTTGCTGTATGTTACCATTGCTATATGAATTGTTATCTTCACTGCTATGCCATGCTTAGGACGACAAGGAAGTGATATAAGATGGACTTACCCGGACCGAGATTCACTATATATCCCAACAACGTGTGAGAAATGCAGTACTGGAAGATCCTCCACGAAGTATGTTGACGAAATCTAGTGACCTCTTGAGGCATCAGGGAGACATCCAACAACACGATCCGACCTTTTCGAACGGTGTTTGGAGGGACGCTCCTTGAGCATCACGACCTGCCTACGGGTCTATGGTAACTCCTCCATCACTAATCACATGTACTTCAACTCGATTCTGTCGAAGAAAGACACAGTAGTTGTTTTCCCTGCTGGCTGGTGCTTGAACATCACGAGGAAGACGCCTCACTGGAGCGAAATGATATAACAATTTGAATGACGACATGTAATTGCGTGAACATTTGCGTTCCTGTAGCAACCCACTGTGCGTTTCTCAGATGGAGGTTAAAAAAAGTGGTTTGGGAGCGCGTCGGCTAGCCTTCGTATTTGATGGTTGGTTTGGTAGCGGAACGGCAAGAAGCGAGAGAAGAGGACAGGACGTGGGACTATATCGAGCTCGTGAGATAGCGGGAAGCTCATGAGCAGTTGACAGGAGGCGGTAATTAATGGATGAGGCATTGAATACTGAGTACTTGAAAGTACCGACGGTGAGATAGAAATTTGCGGGGCACTTGCGTGACTATAAATAACCTAATCACGTGGATAGAAGCTCAACACACGTGACAAAAATGAACCGCGACTTGGCCTAAAGGTTTCTTGAACCTATACGTTTTCCTGGTTCCAGTGTTCACTAGGTTCACTGCTTCTTCTTATTCACTTACTTTTCCTGTGTTACACGTTTGTGATTCAAAAGCAAGGTGCAAAGTTACCTTCATTAACTCTTATTACGACTACTTCTCCGCAACGAGGGTTCCATACGTCTGTACAGCTCATGGCTGCCACTCAACAGTTACCTTCATGGATGACACTGGCAACTACCGTATATACAAATGCTGCAGGTCAAACTATAACCAGCGAAACCACCCTCCAGCTTCCACTCACTTACTACGGTCCAAGTGTGAGTGTCTGCATTCGTTGATACCGCCAGCGTCGCCTTTGCCCTCGGAATAGTTATACACTAGTTCATCATATTGACATCCTTGCCCTCTAGATTCCCTTGGGCAGTGATGGTGCTTGGACCTATGGTGGTCTCACCTCACCAGCAGCATCAACGTCTTTTCTAACGACTTCGTCCACTGCAACATCTTCCACCTTTACCCCAACATCCTCTGCGACACCTACATCCTCTGCGACACCTACTTCCTCTACGACATTTACTTCCTCTGCGACACCTCCTTCCTCCTCCTCCTCCTATCAGTCTACATCTACGTTTATCTCATCGACTTCTACTTCTACATCGCCTTCTACCTCTGTCACATCAAATTCCTCTTCACATGCGACTGCTTTATCCAAAGGAGCCCTCATCGGTATCATCATCGGTGCCATCATTTTGTTTATCCTCTTGCTTCTGCTGTTCATTTGGTTCGTCCGTTGGAACTCCCGTCGAAGAGACTCTAGGGCTATCACACCTATATGGACAGGATGGAATGTTCTTACCCCTGATCCAACCGGCGACGAGGAGAATCGTCCAGCTGGTCTGGGTTCTCCTCGCGATAGCGGTGACGATGAAGCAGATTCTTTCCTCCGTCGCAGCACTGCTACAGAGCCTGAACGCCGTCCACGTCCAGTATCTTCTCTTCCCCCCGGCGCTGCCCCACCCTATATTGTGGGAAGCACCGGCTCTGACAGAACAAGGTCTTCCCAGGCTTCGACAGACTATGGCGTCGTCCTACCTGGTTCAGGACACTTTGGACAGGCCTACAGTGGTGATGGCATCCCTGCTCACGCTAGCAGTGAAATGCTAGGCCACATCGTGCCTCCTGGTGAGCTCCTCCGTATTACAGATGAGGAAGAGCCGGAGGACATACCCCGACCACGCATGTACAGCTCAAGCCATCCCTCTCTGCCCGAGCACATCGCGCCCCTGCTCCCACCCCCACCTTTCGAGGGTGCTGCTACTCGCAAGCCTTCAGACCGTTCCCTACTCAACGAAAAGGAAAAATCCGTCCGCAGTGCCTCTTACCCAACGAGCGACCTTGAGGACTCAAAAATCTTCACTGCTCGCCGGGTACGCGTCCAGGAGCTCGGTTCCCGCAGCCCGCAAGATGACGACTCCACGAATACCCAGCCTGTTGCAGGACCCGCCAGCTGGCGCAACTCTTTCTCTCGTCTGCGAAGGAGCTGGTTTGGTTCCTCCTCATCTCGCAGCGGATCAAACTCGCGCAAGGGATCAGATAAAGACGCCGAGGCAGCCCAATCCTTGCTCGGTCGCAGGCTTGGTGTAGGCTATACCCTTGCAGGAGAACGTCCGATGTCGAGCGTGAGCGCTAAGAGCGCCGTATCTGGGAACACAGTGTACCACGACGCAGTCTCTCGTATGGGTACTCCTGTTTCTCTTCCTTCAAGAGCAATCACGCCTGCGAGTCAGAGGGGAAGCGCAGTTCCTGCAACGGACTTTGCACCTCCTATGCCGAGTGGAGCACCCCCAGCATATGATGATCCCTATGATTTGATGGGTAGTAGGGTCCCCAGCCCGTTGTCTCCCACAGGCGTTGACGTCCTGGATACACCAGCACCAGCTCCTTTTTCATCCGCTTCGACGAGCGGGAGACCTTTGCCGCCAGGTCTTGTCCCGTTGTACAGTCGCCATGCGTGGAGAGACTCGTTGTCTGTGATCACGGGCTCGTCAAATGACGCAGGTATCACAATCGATGTTCTCGATGCTGAGCCGCCGCGAGCAGGTGACGGTTGGAGGAACTTAGCCGGTGGCCTCCTTGGTGTCAGTGCAGGACCAGACCCAAGTGAACAGAGAACCCCGTTTGGAACTGTGAGTTTGGAGATCACTGTTGAGAATATTGGATTAACGATGCTTATTGATACAGCCCCAATTCATCCATCAAGGGAATCCCTTGGTCTCTGAGCGGGGGTCTTTGCATTCTATGCGTTCATACCTAAGTCCCTACTCTGCGCGGTCATCTTCAGGCTCAGCACCTGCATCCTCAGCACGCGTTTTCAATCTCTCAGGGTCCAATTCTTCTCGTCCTTCTGCAAATTCTGCCCACTCGCGCGTAGCAACCACGTCCTCTGCGTCGTTGAACTCTGGTCGACCGTTTGGTCCTATCTCACCATCTGTGAGCGCATTTGGACACGCAGATCCTTCGCGGTACATGTCCCACACCATTGAGGAAAATGAAGACCAGTTCGCGGAGCCAGGCAGCCGCACGTCGATCCTTGGTCCTATGCCCTCGTTCTCCACTCGTTCGATGCTCTCCCAACCAACGATCCGTAGTGTGGGTGGCACAACGGTAACGAGCGATGACACAGAGATGACAAGAACGACTGTCACTTCGGGTTCTGAGGATGTAATAAGCACGCCTAGAACATGGTTTCAAGAACGACTGAGGGCCGAGATTTGAGATAACCCAGCGCTATAGATGAGTTCTCTTCCAAGCGCTGGGGCAGGGCTATTCTATAGATGTGACTTTTTTCCTTACTTATTCTTGTTGCTTCATCGTACCTTTTGCGATACCTCCACTTACTTTTGCGATCCCTATCATACTCGATCTTCTACGTTCGTTACGAAGATTATGATCACCTCCTTACTTACTGCTAAGTACTGATGTCCGGCATACGATTCTTGTACAGTCTGGTGAATGATATAACGGTCATTCATAACGCCATAAGCACATCAACAAAACCCACTCAGGTCTTATGAGCCTTTGACTGGCTTAACAAGGCCATAAGAGGTGGCTGTAGGCCTAATATAATAATAACTAAGGAACAAGATACAACCGGAAGTATGGTGTGGTGTATTATCTTCGGAAATTTCATATAGGTACGAGATCAGTCAATAAACTCATGTAAAAAATGAATCCCAAAGAGACAGACCCAGCCAGAGCCAACGCTCCGAACCAAGCAGCTTTGGTTTGACCTAAGTCTACACCATCGAGCTCGACAATGTAATAAGCATATTGGACCCCTCTCCCCAACACACTTGAGTTGCAATAACAATTATCATAGATATCTGTAAACTGCAGCATCCCCGCTGCAATTATCCAAATTGCATTGACGATTGCCACCAACTTCCCTCCCCATCTCAAAAGGTTTGATGCTAGCTTTACGAGCCTGAGGGTGGTAGATGAGAAAGGACTCCTGGGTCTGTCCGAGTATGAAAATGCGTAGTGCGACAGGATGCTCGACATAACGAGCATTGCCCATACTACAGTTGCAAGTGCGCCATACATGAGGTAACCGAGAGATCTACAACCAAGGCCCTGGCGTGTGCCGCTAATCAGCAACAGACGCAGATAAGCTCACATCAAATAATGCTTACCACAGTTGGAGTGAGATACACAACTATTACCGCAGATCCAGTTGTTGCCCATTGCAAAGCTAGTGGCAGCAGCGAGGCCACGAACATGCGAGAGAACATCCCTGTCGCCCAGGGGCTCCGTACCGCGTATAGAGGAAGTCTGCAATAAGCATTGACTTCGGACGCGTTGCCCTTCCTGTTGCCGGGTTCAATAAAGTTCCTTCTATTCGAGTTCATCCATGTAGCACCAGTCATGACCGGTCTGTGTAATTTAGCATTGTTGGAGGCTATTCGAAAAGCATTGAAGACATCCTCCGCAGACCGAGACCATGAAATGGCCCTGGCATAGTTATAGACGGGCGGTGTTAACATTTCGTCGTTAGACGAAGGATTTTCAATATCAGTATCAATGGATACTGCTCGCATTTCCGAATGATCGGAAGCCTTTACAACAACTCCATGATCGGTGGCCACAAATGCCATTGCATCTGCGTTTTCCATGGCCTTTCTAACGCGTGCGTAATCGCACTTCGGGGACAGTTGCAGCCAACCTATGACGATTGGGATAAGCCACAACCACACCGATCCCGTCCCTTGGCCGTTGGAATTGATGTTGGAGGAGACATCGGCTAGTGAGCTAGCGACTGTCAGTAGGTAGGCGATAACAACCCATGCAATGGATGTGGCAGATGCGATGGACCAGGTATGAGTGTAGTCGAGAAAACCGGAAATGCTCGGCCACCATTCATCATTCTGTGGCAGGACGACGAGAGAGCTCAGCAGCGAGTCTAACCATATGAGGAAGGCGCAACTATTAGAAGCGCCGCACCAGCAACTTTTTTTTTTCAAGTCATTTCTTCCACAACTTGTATCTATCTAACTAACCCATCTTGTAGCCCTCGAAATTCTGCATCACCCGCACCAAAATTCGGTTTAAAATAATTGTGTTAGTGTTGACTTTTGCCCTCAACAAAAACTCGTGGTTCCCATGTGCTTTACACTTTTCGTGTGCCTCCTCTACTCTTACCACGACCTCTGGCTACCCCGGTACCTTGCAGGGTGCTTACCCTGCACCCTGTGATGATCCTACACCAAAAATCTCGCTGCCCGGCCCTTCCGTTCTCGATTTATGGCCCCAACATCGATCTGGGCGCCCTTTTAGTGAGGGGGAGGGTAGGTGAGGGTGTAACTTTTTTTCATTCAACTCTCTTGACTAACCCTTCTGGTGTCCTACTCTACAGCATTCTACCATCCTCCCGCACCAAAAATTTCGCTGCCCGGCCCTTTCGTTCTCGACTTATGGTTATGAGGCACCCTAGGATCCACCTAGGATCAATTTTGTCTCAGCTTTTTACTCAGCTATTCATTTAATAATGGGAGTCCAGGACTCCCTCTGTGTGTGGGCCCATCACTCACTATGTACTTCACAGCTGTTCATTCAATGATGGGAGTCCAGGACTCCCTCTGCATACAGGCCCATCACTTACCATGGTACTTCACAATGTTCCATGCAATGATGGGAGTCCAGGACTCCCTCTGCACACAGGCCCATTACTCACCATGGTACTTCATAATGTTCCATGCAATGATGGGAGTCCAGGACTTCCTCTGCACACAGGCCCATCACTCACTATGTACTTCCCAGTTGTTCATGCATAATGGGAGTCAAAGACTCCCTTTGTGCACAGGCAGCATAACTATTGCCACACTTCTCCATACAGTGTCATACTTTGTTACATATATTCATCGAATTCATAAGATCACTATTTTATTCTACAGCTGTCCATGGAGTGGTGGGAGTCCAGGACTCCCTCTGTGTATGGGCACATCATCCACTATGCACTCCACAGCTGTACATCTACGTGTGTGGACCCCATTGACCACCATCTACTTATAGATGTCCATACATAGTGGGAGTCCAAGACTCCCTTTATATATGGGCACATTAAACTACCATATACTCATAGATGTCCATGCATAGTGGGAGTCCAGGACTCCCTCCGTGTGTGAGCACATTAGCCACCATGTAATCACCATGTACTCCATAGCTGTCCATGCATGGTGGGAGTCCAGGACTCCCTCTGTGTGTGAGCACATTAACCACCATGTAATCACCATGTACTTAGCTGTCCATGCATAATGGGAGTCTAGGACTCCCTCTGTGTATAAGCACATTAATCACCATGTAATCATCATGTACTTAGCTGTCCATGCATAGTGGGAGTCCAGGACTCCCTCTGTGTGTGAGCACATTAACCACCATGTAATCACCATGTACTTAGCTGTCCATGCATAATGGGAGTCTAGGACTCCCTCTGTGTATAAGCACATTAATCACCATGTAATCATCATGTACTTAGCTGTCCATGCATAGTGGGAGTCCAGGACTCCCTCTGTGTATGAGCACATTAATCACCATGTAATCACCATGTACTTAGCTGTCCATGCATAATGGGAGTCTAGGACTCCCTCTGTGTGTGAGCACATTAACCAACCACCATGTAATCACCATGTACTTAGCTGTCCCATGCATAGTGGGAGTCCAGGACTCCCTCTGTGTATGAGCACATTAATCACCATGTAATCACCATAGCTGTCCCATGCATAGCGGGAGTCCAGGACTCCCTCTGTGTATGAGCACATTAATCACCATGTAATCACCATAGCTGTCCCATGCATAGCGGGACTCCCTCTGTGTATGAGCACATTAATCACCATGTAATCACCATAGCTGTCCCATGCATAGCGGGACTCCCTCTGTGTATGAGCACATTAATCACCATGCAATCACCATAGCTGTCCCATGCATAGCGGGAGTCCAGGACTCCCTCTGTGTATGAGCACATTAATCACCATGTAATCACCATAGCTGTCCCATGCATAGTGGGAGTCCAGGACTCCCTTTGTGTTGTGAGCATATTAATCACCATGTAATCACCATAGCTGTCCATGCATAGTGGGAGTCTAAGACTCCCTTTGTGTTGTGAGCATATCTAAGAAGTAAAGTGCGATGGTCTCAGGAATGTTCGGGCGCTCACGTATTTCATCTATCTCGAGTATTTCGCCAATGGCCATGTGGTTTGTGCTTAGCTCACTTAGTCTCGATTTGGCAACTCACATGGTTTTTTCACGTGTTTTCGAGTGCCAACTCAAATAGCATTGCCCTTTGGGAACTTAGCATGACCTTGGTAACTGTCTATGTACATGACATTAAATAATGAAAAAGGATGTATTTAAGCCGGGCAAGGCAGATATGTGGTTAGATTTATGTTTGTTCTCCACTGTAATTGTCATGGTAGTATTTATATACATACAGCAAATACTTAATACAATTGCAGACAGGGGGAAAATAAATATGAGATAAAAGAGATTGGGAGATCAATGACAGAAGATTATGAAAAATAACAAAAAGAGAGGAAAAGACCACTTAGAGACTCAAAAACTAGAGAATAAGAAGACGGGAGACAGGAGACAGGAGATGGGAGATGGGAGATGGGAGATGGGAGATGGGAGATGGGAGATGGGAGATGGGAGATGGGAGATGGGAGATGGGAGATGGGAGATGGGAGATGGGAGATGGGAGATGGGAGGACATGGAGAATTAAATATATTTAATGATACTGTTACATATTTTGTAATTTTACTTTTTGTCAAAATCCCACTCAAAGAATGCAGAACTGACTGATCTTATGTGGTGTGGTAGATTGTACAACTACTAATGGTCCTCAAATCAAATTTTGACACTTGGTCCCTCCACGTCCTTTAGTGTTTTACCCTCTCCCACTGCTACACCATCTGCTAGTGCCCATGACACACCTCTCACTATAGGTCTATCCTCTGCTGGCGCTTATGATGTACCTTCTCAGACCCAAACACATATCAGATCCTCAGTTTTATGGATCTCTCCATTGACCCACAACTCCTTCAAGCTCAGACTCCTGCTCCCCCCTTCACACCCTCTCAAATACACCTTCTCGGACTGCACAATTCCCATAATATCACTGAACTGGGCAATTTTGCTCCTGACTCCAGGAGTGGCCCACTTAATGTCCCCCTCAGAAATGCACTAGACTATCTTGACAACAACGAACTCATGCTTGATGATACTGGTATCCTCAGTAGCCCTCTACAGGTCACAGGGACAAAAAACCACTTTGCTGCATCACCCTCACCTCCTCCTGATCCCCCCTCCCCCCAGTCATCCAAATTTCTATCACACCCCCATTGTCTTTATATGACACTTACTCAGCATTTGATGCTCACAAGCTGTCAAACCATGGGGCATGACATAAAGGGCCGGCAGGCATGGCCTGCAGCACGTCTACACCCTCCTTGACGACACACAATATCACATCATCATTAAACTACCCTATCTCTCCAACCCTGTAGACCTTGCTGCCAAACAGTAGGGGCAGCTTGAAAAGAAGGCAAGGTTGGTGTAAAGAGTTGATTCTGTGTAGGCTCTGTGAAAGATGATACCTTAAAGACTTAATGTGTGAGTGTGATTCAACCCAAAGAGACTGCCTATAGAACTATCTCTTGATATAAAATGCAAGGGATTGTCTTGTTAAGATCAAAGAGGAGAGAAGAAAAAGATACCTATAGTGCATCCAAAGTTCTGAAGGATTGTCCAAAGTACCGAAGTACTGGTCCAAGTGTGGTCCAACATCAAGAAATGAAGGTCTGAGGTTGTGTAAGATGTCCAAAAAGCTTCTGGTGAAACAACAAGGTTTCCAGGGATGGATATAGTAGGTATGTTAAAGTATAAGACTTGCGCAGTATAACTTTTCAAAGTCCATCAAAAGACTTAAAGATATCAAGAAGCAAAATGGCAGTAGTCAGGCCAAAAAATCGTTTTGAATGAACAAAGAGATCAATTACTGCTATGCTAAGGTTCTAGGTATTCATCATGTCAATGCTATCTGAACTGGGAACATCTATGAATCCCATCAAGTTGAATTTCTCTTTGTTAGGTTGATAGTGGATGGTAGGTTGCGTAGGTTGACGGCTACATGCTTGAGACCCTAACCCTAATCTAGGGTTTAAATTTGTGGTGGGAGGGAGAGAATTTCCTTGTGTGGAAGAATTAGGGTTGTCAGTGTACTGATGGACGGGGTGTGCAGGGTTTGCAGGGTTGAGTAGCGGCTCCCTGAGGGGACCGTGCATGCACTGTGACGTGACACTTACATTTTATGCCCCCTGCTCAGCAACGGCTCCCTGAGGGGACCGTACATATACCTGCATGACACAGTGTGAACACTCCCCTAGGTAATCAACTACCAAACCAACCAAACTAACAACAGTATGTAATATCTTAGTGTTGTTGCAGCTGAATATACTTCCAATGCACTGGACGGCTCCCTGTGGGGACCGTTGAGATCTTGAGACTTACCTGAGTGAGAATTACCCAGCATTGCGCTAGTGTTACAGAAATATTAGTTACGTGTATGATTACTACTACATTGCTACTGCTCAGATGCACAGTGATGATGACCGGCTCCCCGAGGGGACCACACTGTTGGCCTGCGCTACAACTGCTAAGACGATGCATATTGACCATCACCGGCTCCCTAAGGGCACCGCACTGTTAGCCGCCATATTGCAAGTTCACGTGACTTGCTGGCACTGCGACATGCTGCTCATCGGCATAAGATGAGACGATATGAGCGAGCTGTAGTTGATTGGCTTGAAATGCCTATGTCAGCTGCATGATCAGTGGAGATGACAGAATTGTGACTTATCAAGGTTATCTTGAGTTTAGTTGAGGTTTCATGCGCGCCATGGTGAATGGTTGGTTTGGTGGTCTAGACCGTCTCTTATTGTTAGGAACATGCGCTGCTGATTTAATTGTTTCAGGATGGATGGGCCTACATTCAGGTGTCTTCGACGGTGGGCTTCTACCTACCTACATTGTGACGATCGCTCGGCTACAGGGTCCCTAACCCTCAACAAGAGGAATTTGTTACCGATCGACACCTGGACGAATGGGGCAAGAGAAGCGCTGCCTCATGCCCACCTGCAGGCGCCGGCTCCCCCAGGGAGCCGTTCCCACGGGCAGGATAGCGTCGAAGTTGCCCCATTCGTCCAGGTGTCGCTCGGCAACAACTTCCTCATGTTGAGGGTTAGGGACCCTGTAGCCGAGCGATCGTCACAATGTAGGTAGGTAGAAGCCCACCGTCGAAGACACCTGAATGTAGGCCCATCCATCCTGACACAATTAAATCAGCAATGCACGCAGCGAGGACGGAAGAAATACAAACACTCAACATCCATTGTATCAGCAGCTCCCTCAGGGAGCCGTTTAGCCCATCAGTCAAGCGGATATTAAAGACACGAGTAGCGCTCACCTACCCATATTAGGCAACTGACATCCTTGAACGACCCTGAGGCTGATGGGGAATCCCAATGTAGACATCGAGCTGGGCACAATTACCACGTTCCTGAAAATGTAAATTTTGAGGGTGTTAATTTATTGAACCGCGCGTGAGTTATAAGTCTCAGTGACGACAAACAAATCACCCACCAAACCAACCAACCAACCAACCAATCAACCAACCAAATCAGCAACCAGCAACCAGCAAAACAAACAGTAAGTGATTACACCCAGCGGGTCAGTAGCGCTAATGCATGCCTGACGCACCAGGCTATGAGCCATAATCTTCAGAGCGCTGTCTTGATGCTCCTCGTGTCCGGCAGAGACTGGATTTTTGAGGACGAATCCGGGACTCTGCAGGAGGTGTTTGGCCTCACCGAGAAGCTGTTCGACGAACCGAACAAGCATCTCAGCGACAGCGAACGGGCGTCGATTAACGCGATGATCGAGGCCATCGGAAAGAGGAAGACGTCAGAAGCACGCTATAAAGTTCTCGAAGGGAAGAGCGAGGGAGGGTGGAGCGCAGGACGGGCTGCTTTTAAGAAATGGTTTACGAAGCAAAAGGTTAGTAGCCTCATGGGTCAACGTATTGACGCAGTATACAATTCTTTGGGTGTCGCACCTATGCAACTCATCAACGAGGGACTCGAGCCAGGAGAGGAGTTCCCGAGCATATTAGATTCTGAACGCGCCAAGGAGGACGTGCTGCTCGCGGTTGCCGGGGATCACGCGCTGGAACGTGTACCGCGTGGTGATTTTCGTGATGCCATCACGGGCATCAACCACCATGCATGGGAACGTCACCGCAAACGCTTCAGGCGTGCTCTGGACGGATTGCCCAACAAGAAATTGGCAGCGCTTACAGCTGTGAAAGGTGAGTGGTTGTGTGAGACGCAAATGAGATGTCACTCACTTGTGTTGTTGGCAGTAATTGAAGACGCACATGAGGTCACTGCCCAGCAGCTGCGAGAGGCGACGAGGGCCGTCAAGGCGCTAAGCCAGACAGTTGCGTGGTTCCCTGCGGAACAGGACAAAGTAGGCGAGTACGAAGAATTCTTAAAGGAGGTCGTCGTTGTTGCGGTGGCCAAGGTCAGGAAAGTGGCGAAGGAGAAGGTCACAGTGAAGACGGACAACACACCTGGCCGTGCGTAGTGCGGTCCCCTCAGGGAGCCGTTGTTGTGTAGACTCACCTCCGTCAACAGGTAAACGTGGTGCTCAACGTGCGCGTAAGGTGAAGACGGACTCGCTCGTTGCTGCTGGCGACGTTGAGGAAATCTGGGCGCTGTACGTCCAACTGTTTGAAACTGAGCCTGGTTCGTTAGAGGCCCCGCAAGACGAGGAGGATATCGACAACAGCGGAAGAGCTGCCTGGCTCGCTGATTCAGAAGACCTCGGCGTGGATGGATGGCGGGAGATGGACAACGACAAGTTGAACCATCTCCTGCAGTTTCCAGGGGGAAAGCCGGCACTTTTCGCCGAGTATCGATCGAAAACAGGGTTGTGCGCTTGGGATGAGGCGTCGGCGTCAAAATTCGTGCATGACAATGAAGACATGGAGCCTTTGGCACTCCTGTGGCATCAACGAGTTGGAGTCGCCGCGATGGTCGACAAGATCTGGTCCGCGAAGAAGTCGGATGAAGAGGTGCCAGGTATCCTGATCGCTGACGAGGTTGGCGTTGGGAAGACAGCTCTTACAATGGGCTTCATCGCCTTCCTCATTGATGCCTTCTGGGTGCAGGAGGTCAAAGCCGGTCGAGGGAGACCTGAGGGCGTGACGTCAAACATTAACCTGGAAAATCTGCGCTCTGCGCCAATTCTTGGTGAGTGATTAGTTCTTTGACGGTCCCCTGAGGGAGCCGTGTATGACCTACCAACTGTATGTTGCTGCTGCTGTTGTTGTGGTTGTTGCTGTTGCTGTTGGATGTAGCAGTCCCCTCAGGGAGCCGGGTAAGACCTACCAACTGTATGGTGGTGCTGCTATTGCTGGAACCCCGCAGGGAGCCGTCTGGGATCTGACTTCCGTAGCCCTGGATGTTGCTGCCGTTGTCGCACTTGCGATATTTGGTGACTGTTGTCTGGCCGGTCCTCCCAGAGAGCCGTTATTTGACATTGACTTACCATAATCTTCCCCACAGCCGAACGCCCGTTTTTTGCAGCACTCGATGCGATCCCCAACCTCCCTCACGTCATCATCGTCCCCAATTCCCTGTACAATCAATGGTATTCAGAACTGCGCACATTTTTCGCGCCCAAAGCTGTCGAAATTTACAAATATCCTACCGCTGAGAATGAGTTCGGCGAGTTCTTCAGTGGTCCTTGGGCGACGTCAGCCACTCCCTTCATTCACCGCATCATATTAATCAATCACTCGGTAAGTTAACCCACCTCTCATTTGGCGCAAGTTCTCACTTACTGCCAGGTCATGTACACGAGCGGCAAAGTATTCGACACTCGCAAAGGTGTCGCCGGCCACAACAGCAACAAAGCATCCGATGACACCCGCTCTATCAAGCAACGCAAACAGGCCGCCAAATCCATCTGGGCTGGGCGAAAGTTCCTCACAGTGTCCATCGACGAGGTACACGAGATCCGCAACCTCACTGCCGGGTTCTACGCGACCCTTGAGGTCACCAAGGCATCAACAGTGAAACTCCTGGCGTCTGGCACGCCGTTGTACACTGGTCCAATGGTAAGTCACACACTTAGTTAGTTGCGTAGCACTCATCGCATCATTGTCAGGACCTTTGCAACGTGGGCCGTTTGGCTCGAATCCCCTATTTCATGGGGAAGCCAGGCGACGAGCGAGACAAGGAGCACGTCAAGGCACTTCGTGCGGCGCGTCGGACGTTGACGCAGGAAGACAAAAACGATGCAGCTGCGCACACCGTCCGTTTGCTGGCAGGAGGGGCGCCCAGCAACGACGACGACGAACCCGAGCCTGAAGCAAGGATCCGCATTAGAACGGCTACCAACAACTGGATAACGAACATCAAACGTGGCTTCCGTGGGCGTGTCATTCGACGGACGGTAGACTCGAAGATGTTTGACGGCAGGAAGATCAACGACACCTTGATCCCATACAAGATGGTCATTCTGGCCGTCCAACTCAACGAAGCGGAGGTGGTAGTGAATCAGAGCGTCATGGACCAAATTACTGGCTCGTACGTATGCGGCTCCCTGAGGGGACCGACTGCTGACAGACGTACAGATCAAGTGCTGCAGCGCTCGATGAGACATCTAATTTCAACACGGTGAGTCGCCGGCTCCCTCAGGGAGCCGCACGCTGATTGCAGCTTAGAAATTTTACCTCGACGGTCGCACGAAAGTTGGCTTCCCCCATCACACGTCCCCCACCTACCCTATCGTCAGGTCACATGATGAGTGGGACAAGGTAAGGTCTACCAAAGTCGACACGTTGATCAAGCTCCTGGGTTGGCAGTTGGAATCGGACGACCACCATGTATTCCCTGTCGACGAGGACGACACATTGACCGAGGCTGCCGTTGCCGCGAAGGCACTCACTCCACCACCGCCCAATCAACTCGCCGACCCTGTCCCTCCATCTCTCCCTCCCGTTCCTAACGCCAAATATATCGATATGCCGGATCTCATGACGAAGGGCACGCGCAAGATATTGGTGTACATCGAGTTCCCAATGATGGCCCCTCTCCTCATATCCGTGCTTCAGTTACACAACATTCATCCACTCGTCATTCATGGTGGACACGGTGCCGAAGAGCGCAACGAGATCGTCCTGAAGTTTCACTCAGACCCGAACGCGAGAATTCTGATCTTCTCAAGTGTTGGTGCTGTCGGCCTCAATCTCACTGCCGCGAGCGTCGTCGTTCTTTTCGTGAGTTGTCCATCTCGTCACTCACAACTCTCACTATCACACAACTTTACTTACGACTTACAGGATCAATGCTGGTCGCGCATGCTCGTCAATCAAATCATCGGACGCGCTTGGCGGCTTGGCCAGCAAAAGGAGGTCGTCGTCTATAATATGGTTGCATTGGGGACAGTCGACGTCTTAATGCTGCATCATGGCGAGGGTAAAGGAAATATGTTGAGGCAGTTCTTGTCTGCCAATCAAGGTACGCGTTAGTCGCTTGTCGTCTTCGTTGTTGCTTACACTACGGATCAGGCCTTGTGAAGTCAATCAAGTCCGCAGTGGATGGCCACGCGCCCATCGAAGATGACGACGATGACGATATCCGCATCTTGGACTCACCCCCCGCGACTCCAGGTCCGTCAAAGCCACGCAAGAAAGGCGTCAAAGGCGGCAAAAAGCGCGTGACACGTAACATCGCTCAGACTGGCGACGAGGATGGCGACATCCTCGACCTTACGAAGATGGGACTTGATGATGCTGATGAGGAGGACGAGGAGAACGAGGAAACAGATGGGGCGACTGCCAAAGGTAAGGGCAAGGCGAAGAGCAAGGCACCCGCCAAGCCAAAGCCCAAGGCAAAACCGAAGCCAAAGTCAAAGGCAAAAGGGAAAGGCAAAGGGAAGGCCACAGGTGAGGAGGCGGACAGTGACGATGTAACGTCCTTCAAGAGTGCGAGCAAATCAAGTGCGACCACTAAGTCGACCACCGGTCCCCTCACGGAGACGCCTGTCATTGCCGCTGCGTCCAGCTCAACGGGCAATGCAGATGTGAGTGCTCGAGGAGACGACTCACAGAAGGATGGTGGTGCTCCTGCGTCTACGCAGGCTGATGCTGGCAACGCGCCAGCTTCATCCAGCGGTCCCCTGAGGGAGCCGGACAGTACAACAGCCAGCGCACCTGCATCAACAGCCGCTGGGCCTGCAACTGCTACGCCACCTGCACCACCAGCACGAGCATATCCCGCCACAGCTGCAACAGCTGATTATAGGGCCTTTTTCTATATATGTTAGGGTTAGCTATGGGTTTTTTTAAGGCTTAATAAATGATGATGCCTCTACTGGAACTGTTCCAGTGGAGGCTAGTTAGGTGAAGTTAGTAGTTAGTTTAGTTCGTTAGGTTGCCTCCACTGGAACGCTTCCAGTGGAGGTTGGTTTGGTTTGATTAGTTAGATGCCTCCACTGGAACTGTTCCAGTGGAGGTTAGTTTGGTTGTCAGAATGAATGCCTCCACTGGAACTGTTCCAGTGGAGGTTAGTTTGGTTGTCAGAATGAATGCCTCCACTGGAACTGTTCCAGTGGAGGTTAGTTTGGTTGTCAGAATGCCTCCACTGAAACTGTTCCAGTGAAGGTTAGTTTGGTTGTCAGAATGCCTCCACTGGAACTGTTCCAGTGGAGGTTAGTTTGGTTGTCAGAATGCCTCCACTGAAACTGTTCCAGTGAAGGTTAGTTTGGTTGTCAGAATGCCTCCACTGGAACTGTTCCAGTGGAGGTTAGTTTGGTTGTCAGAATGCCTCCACTGAAACTGTTCCAGTGAAGGTTAGTTTGGTTGTCAGAATGCCTCCACTGGAACTGTTCCAGTGGAGGTTAGTTTGGTTGTCAGAATGTCTTCAGTAGAACAGTTAGAGTTAGTTAGTTAGAGTTGTCAGAATGCCTTCACTGGAACAGTTCCAGTGGAGGTTAGTTTGGTTGTCAGAATGCCTTCACTAGAACAGTTTCAGTGGAGCGTTAGTTTGGTTGTCAGAATGTCTTCACTGGAACAGTTCCAGTGGAGCGTTAATTTCATTGTCAGAATGCCTTCACTGGAACAGTTCCAGTGGAGCATTAGTTTGGTTGTCAGAATGTCTTTACTGGAACAGTTCTAGTGGAGCATTAGTTTCGTTGTCAGAATGCCTCCACCGGAACAGTTCCAGTGGTTAGTTAGTTTGGTTGTCAGAATTCCTCCACTAGAAGGTTAGTTTGGTTGTCAGAATGCCTTCACTAGAACAGTTCCAGTGGAGCGTTAGTTTGGTTGTCAGAATGCCTCCACTGGAACTGTTCCAGTGGAGGTTAGTTTGGTTGTCAGAATGTCTTCAGTAGAACAGTTAGGGTTAGTTAGTTAGAGTTGTCAGAATGCCTCCACTGGAACAGTTCCAGTGGAGGTTAGTTTGGTTGTCAGAATGCCTTCACTAGAACAGTTTCAGTGGAGCGTTAGGGTGGATTAGTTAGGGTTAGTTTAGTTGGATTCATTGATACCTCCAAAGGTTCAGACATTTGAAGGTTAGTTCAGTTAGTTATTTATATTCTAGAATAACTTGCAAAGGAAGATGAGAAAATTATGTGTTAGCTACAACGTGAACTTAGAGAAGGTCATAAGTATCAAATAGACTATGAAAATAATGTGACTACTGTGTTGGGTGTCAGGGTACTCGGAGCATTGGAGTTAGCATTTGTCAGTATTTTGCATTTCATGGTTCATGTTTCGTGGTTAACGAATCAGGCGTCAGGGACTCACTATTCAGAACAGTGTTGAGTCCCAGGTCATGAGCTCCGAGTCCCGAGTCCCGAAACCCACACTCAGCAGTTGCCGAGCTCCGAGTCGCCGAACCCCGACCTCCGAAATTTGGGACTCGGGACCTGGGCATCCGGGACTCGGATGTGAGATTTTTGAATGCATAGAATATGTTACATCTTGTATACAATGAAGACTGAATGGGACTACACTCCTTTTCCTTTCCTCAATTTCTCTAACATGTCAGTGTACATCTTCACCTCTCCCATCTTAGCTTCGATGCCCTGATCTTGCTCCTCCAGCAATGCTTCCATGTGTTCTTTGATGAACCTCAGTCCCATGAGTGGTGGAGTCAAAGTGTTTTTCAACTTCTCTGGAAGTACCAAAGCATCATCCTCAACATTAAGCTGAAACAGATAAGTCATCAATCAAGGTAATTCAGCTGACATCTTACCGCCCAATACTGGTAGTGAGAGACGCAGGAAGCCATTATTTCATCCCACTGCCATGGTTGATCAGGGATTGTGGTGTTTCCCATCCACCATGGACATGTATATGTGAACACAATCCGGGACGGATGTCCTGCAATTGGCTCATCATGAAATGAAAGGAGGTGGAATGAAAAGACGTTGTCCGGAACCGTGTTCCAGGTGAGCATGGGATAAAACTTAAGGATATAAGCGACAGGGACCAGAAGAACCGACACAATATTCTGTGAAGCGGAGTACTGCAGGAGTGGTGTGACAAATATCTGCTCAAATTCTTAGCATTGACCAACAGAGTCATCAGGGCAGTGGTAACATACATTCATCTCCCATTGCAGCCCGGCTTTAAAATACTTGATCCGGTCAGCAGTTAGACCATTGTTGGCAGCTTCCGTCCGATATTGAGAGATGCATGCATGGACGCGCGATCCAGCCATTGCCAATGTGCAGCAAATAGTTGCAAGGCTCAGCTTCAGAGGTCGTTAATGGCTGCCGGCATTCAGAGTGCCAGAAGTGGATGCATGAGATGCAGACATGGCTAATACAGGACTATGGCGCTGGCAATACAAGTGAAAGATGGTGAAGATGTGAAGATAAGAATCACTGATGGATGGATACAAAATTCAAACTCCGACATGGGCTGACCCGGACAATTCCCGGGCCTCAATTATGTATGTGGAAAAAGGGACTTCATGAGAAAACAATGTTCATTCATCTCCAGCCTCTATCAACACATTTTGTAGGTCTTGAAAAGCTGCCTGCGCATCCTGTGCCAGCGATGAATACATTTGGGATTGCCTTCCGGCGTAGCATCCGTGACCCGGAAGTCGTTTCTCCAATGATTCCTGCATGTGCTCGCCCCATATGGTTGTTTTTCAAATGCAATCCTGCATCTCTGGGATCCCCGCCCAAACGGACCCGAGGGAAGTCTACCACCAGCCAGACGCATTCCAAGACACCTGCCCCTGCTCCATCCAATGCTCCATCTCCCTCCCAGTCAAGGGCCTGAACTCGTAGTTAATCTCGTGGCCCTTCCCGAACTCCGGCCATCCCTGCTGCAACCACACCCCAGGTGCAGTCACGTGGTCGCAGCAAGACCATCACTACCAAGAAGACACCTGTTCCTGCACCTGTCCCTGCACCTGTCCCTGCACCTGCGCCAGCTGGTAAGTCACCCATACTTTTGATGACCAGCTGACCTAATTTTTTACTTAGCAGTCAGGTCTTCCAGCATCGCAGTGCCTCGTGCAGCACTCGATGTTCCCATGCCGGATCTCCATTCCATGGCAATTGCGATTCGGGATGGTGCAGCTCGCATCGCTATTCTTGAGGCTCGGGTGCAGGAGCAGGACGCTAAGATTGATACCCTGCAACGCCTCCATGAGAGCCTCCGGCGCACAGTGGTCGACCGGCACCCTTCATTTTCACTTCCGGACACACTGGCCGATGGAATAATGTTGCTTGGTCAAGGAGGTCCCCCCCCGTCCATGTCACCCCTCCCCTCCGCACTTTCCAACCTCATTGATTTGGACTTTTCAGTCATGCAACCTACACCCTTGACGCCTGAGCATGAATCTGCTGTGGTAGGTCCCATGGTTGAGCCCACCCAAGTTCAGCCTGAGGGTCCACAATCCTCTGGTGAAATTGATCTCCCTGATGAACCAGGCAACCTCCTGCCAGAATCCCAGAGTGCCGGGTCTCGGGTATCGGGTGTCCGGAACTCGGAACTAGGTATGTCTAAACAAAAATATATTGCAAACATGGGTAAGTCAATGTGTTGTCAATCTACTCAATTGTAAATTAAATTGTATTGATCTCCCCAAATTCTCCCAAGTTCCGAGTTCCGGACACCCGATACCCGAGACCCGGCACTCTCAGGTTTCGGGGTTCGGGGGTTGGTACATCTCGGTTTGGGGTTTGGCACTGAAAATTTGACATATATATTTTTGTGAGTGTTGTGCTTCTGGTGTCCATGCTTAGAAATAGGATTTGTTGCACACCAGGGTTCAGGTGTGGGGTTTTTCCACTTCAGTCCTGGATTATTGGTCAATGCCACACATGATAGATTCATGTTTTTGTGCTTAGGGGTTTAGATTTGGTGGTTGATGGTAGGTATATGCACTGATAGTGTACATGTATCCTATGTGTTTGATTCGCTGGTGGCTACATCAGCTGTATGTCTTGATGGAACATATCTAGGCTCACCCATATATGTAATACACCCCCGTCGGCCCGCCCGTCTATGTATTATCCCCCACGTCGGCCGACCCGTCTATGTGATACATCCTATGTTGGCCCACCCGTCTATATAATACATCCTACATCGGCCCATTCGTCTATATAATTATACCCCACCTCGGCCCACCTGTCTATGTAATAAATATTTTATAGCACCCTCGGCCCACCGGTCTATTTGATATCCCTTTCATCGGCCCACCCGTATATGTAATACATTCCACGTCGGCCCACCTGTATATGTAATACACCCTACGTCAGCCCACCCGTCTATGTAATATTCCCCTACCTCGGCCCACCCATATATGTAATACACCCACGTCGGCCCGCCCATCTATATAACAATATTTGCCTTACATCTCTCTTCAGCCCAGCTGTCTATAATATCCTACTCTACATATTACCCAGATGGGCCCACCCATCTCCATGAATGATCATATTCCCCTGGCCCATCCGTCAACATTAAGGATATATATCATTGGCATACATGGGCCCACCCGTCTCCATCGGAAATAATATGAGTCCCGGCCCATCCGTCATCATCGAGAATATACACAACATGGGCCCATGATCAGCTGGCCCGTCTCATACGGGATATTATGGAGGTCGGGTGGCCCGTATAATACGGAATTTGTCACTGAAGGGGCTCGCCAACCTTACTTTTCGTAGTTGCAGGCTGTGACAATGCAAGTGACTGATTGAGCTCATTGTAGCGTTGTTTGAAGATGTTCTCGGCACAAGCAAGCACGTCATCGAGCAAATCCGATGGCCAGTGCTTTTTGAAGTATGCGAGTTTGGCTGTC